TCCTCCTCCTCCTCTCCTCGTGCTCTTTACCTCGTCCTCTTCTCCTCCCCTCCCCTTCTGCTCTTCTTCCATCTCCTCCTGTTCCTTTCTCTTCCTCGCTCATCCTCCCTCTTCCTCTCTCGCACCTGAAAGCTCGAGACGATGCCTTCCTGCATGGTGTCGTACCCGATCCTCGGCTCACTTCTCATCAACGCCCCTCGCTTGCTCGCTGCTCCCTCGCTGCTGGACGGCTGGGACGTCAAGACTGGTTCGCGTGAGAGGAAGGAAGCGAGAAAAGCCGAGCTCATTCCTAGCTGCTCCAGTTTGTTTCTCAGCTCGGACGCGTCAACGAAGCCGTCTAGGTTGGCGTCAGCGACGGGCAGGAGGTTGAGCTTGAAGAAGGAGGAGAAGTTCAAGCTCGTCCACACTGCCTCCTCCTCCTTCCCGAACAGCGAGTATCCCGTCACAACCCGCACGAGGAAGGGGTGACGAGGGTCGCGCGTGAAGTCAACGGCTGTCAGGAAGCAGGGCTGACCGATCAGGCCGGCGTCAACCTCCTCCCCCTCCACCTGTACGTACCCTCTCATCCCCAGCTGCATGCTTGACACCCTTCCCAGCTCACTGCTAAGCTTCGACCCCAGCAGCGTCTGCCCCATGGTGGCGAAGATGATGAGGAAGAGGGCGATGAGCGCGCACTGGGCTGCTGCTGGGCGCATGACCCGCACCATGTTGGCGACTTGCTTCTGAACCTCCGGGACCGAGCGGATGAGACGCGTCAGCCTCGCCAGGCGGAACATGCGGAGCACCGAGATACCGCTCTTGCTCGTCTGACACTGCGAGGATGAGGAGGAGGCGGCGGCGGCGGCGCGAAGGCACTGGATCATGGTCCAGCTCTGCGGGACGTCGACGATGGTGATGCAGACGGTGAGGAAGTCAAAGCAGTTGAATCCGTTCCTGAAGTAGGCGAGAGGAGCCCACGGCCAGAAGAGCTGCTCGCCGCGGATCGCGTTCCTGCCCATCCCGACCAGCTTGACGGCCATCTCGAGGGAGAAGTAGATGGTGAAGATCAGGTTGGAGGCCTCCAAGATGAGCAGGAAGAAGGTGAAGTCTCGCTCTGAGCTGTAAAGTCCTCCCACAAACGACTTCCTGTCCGCGTTCAGCAGCATCGAGATGGTGTTGAGGAGGATCACAACCGACGTGGCTCGCTCGAGCCGCTTGCTCAGCGCGATGCGCGACAGGAAAGTTTTCGTCCTGCGCTTTCGCTTCTTCCCCTTGCTCGGAGCCGAGGCCGCCCCGTCGACCTGCAGCAACTCCGACCCGCCAGACTCGACGAGATTGACGTCCTCGTGATATCGCCCCGCGCTCTCCTCCAAGACTATGCGAGGCAGCTGGCGGTGCCACTTGTGAAACCTGCGCCTGAGCTGCAGGAACGCGTTGAAGTCTGACTCAAGACTGCGCGCAAGCAGCAGCTCCCGCACCTCCGGACGAGCCTGCAGCACCGCGCTACTGATCGTCAGGTCGCTCCACAAGGTGAAGTGAACGTCGAGGGTGAACCTCCTCTGCCGCTCCTTCCACGTCACGATCTGCGTCTTGACGCCCTTGTCCTTAAGCTCGGACAGCGTCTTGATCAGGATCACCTGGAACATCTGCATGACGTAGATCGGCCCTGCTATGAGCAGAGGGACGAAGTAGAAGAGCATGTAGGGAGAGAAGGCTTGTTGCGCCACGTTCATGATCTCGACCCACCCTTGCACGGTGATGATCTGAAGGTTTGCAAGCAGAGAAGATCGTAAGTCGTCAAAGTTGACACCCTGGAGGTCGGGGGGCAGCAGGGGCAGGCACTGGAAGCTTGCTGGACATGTGTACAACCCCACGATCCGGTTGCCAGGCGACCAGGCGTTTCCTGCCAGTCCGAGGGAGCAGACTTGAGCAGGGTCGAGCAGTGTGCCGGAGTCTTGGTGGTAGCAGCGTCGTCGGGAGATGCCCGCCCACAGTTGGGAGGACAGGATGGAAAACATGACGAGGAGGAGGAAGAGGAGGAAGATAAGGCTGCTGAGCCTAATCCACGCCTTCGCCGCAAGCTCGACCATGGCGCGCAGGTCAGGAAACTTGGATATGGTCCGGAGGGGGCGGAGGGTACGAAAAGTGCGGAGGGAACGGACGGCGGGGCTGGTGTTCTGACCCGCAAAGTCGGAGATGGCGCCGATGATGGCGATGGAGAAGTCCAGAACGTTCCATCCCTCCCGCAGGTATGTCTTCCTTCCCGCCACGAAGCCGAAGGCTAAGATCTTGATGCCAGCCTCCAACAGGAACAACCCACTGAGATACTTGGAGATCAGGTCGAGCAAGTCCCGCACCTTGTTGCTGGGCTGCCGGTCGGGAGACTGGAAGGGATCATACAAAGACAGGCAGACGGTGCTGATGATGATGACGATGATGGATGCATAGTCCAGACCATTCTCACACAGTAAGATGGCGAACTTCCTGATTGGGTTCTGCAGTGACAAGATGAAGAGCGACCTCGACTCCCACTTGTAGGGGTCAGGCCATGGTTTCTTGTCCACGTGTGCCATCGTCCTAGCCACAAGCACCTAGGGAACTATCGACCAGTCCGTCTCTTTCTCACTCTCCCATGGTCTTCAACACGTTTCATGAATTCAAATGTGCTCCTCGTCTGTTCTTTCTTCTCCTCTGCCCTATGATACTCTCCTCTCCTCTCCTCTCCTCTCCTCTCCTCTCCTCTCCTCTCCTCTCCTCGCTTCTCTCATTTTGCCATGGCGATTCTTTCTCCCCCGCTGGCTGCATGATGGATCCTAAAAATAAACTTGAAAATCTGTAAAACTAAAAAAAGGAGCAATGGAAATGGCAGTTACACGCCATGTCAATCCTCTGAGGTAGAGTGGAGGAAACAGAACGCGAGAGAGTCAGTCAGTCAGTCAGTCAGTCAGTCAGTCAGTCAGTCAGTCAGTCAGTCAGTCAGTCAGTCAGTCAGTCAGTCAGTCAGTCAGTCAGTCAGTCAGTCAGTCAGTCAGTCAGTCAGTCAGTCAGTCAGTCAGTCAGTCAGTCAGTCAGTCAGTCAGTCAGTCAGTCAGTCAGTCAGTCAGTCAGTCAGTCAGTCAGTCAGTCAGTCAGTCAGTCAGTCAGTCAGTCAGTCAAGCAGTCAAGCAGTCAAGCAGGCTGGCTGGCAGAGGAGGGCAGGGGAGGGGCGGGGAGAGGTTGTAGAACTACCAGGAAGATGGAGAGATCGGTGGATCTCTATCATACCATCTACAATGAAAGGAAAGATCGGATCCTCAAGAGGTCAGCAGACATGCAGAGACACGAGACTTTACTGGTCCATCGCATCAAACAATCCTCCACGAGAACCTCTCCCACCAAAACCGATCCGACCGCAAGCTTTGCTGTGATGCAGCCCACGTGCAAGGGAGAGCAAGCGGAGATCAAGCTGCTGCGAGAGAGGCTGGAGCTGGCAAGAGTGCGAGCCGACGTGGAACGGAGAGTGCGGCTCAATGCTGAGTCGATCACGAAGCAGGTGAGATGAGGGAGGTGGGGTGAGGAGCTTCTGGTCACAACTCGTGCAGGTGCTGGCAGAGCAGTCAGGCTCGTACGTCTTGACAAGCTCATGGCCCAGGGCTCGTTCATCGAGAGCCGATGAAAGGCAAGAACCTGGGAGACAAGAGCATGCGACTGCGATGACAGGAGGTCACGGCATCTCCTCCCGTCGAGTGTCGAGGTTTCTCTACTATCAGCGGCTCAAGCAAGCGAAGCTGGAGGCGATTGCGATCCTCAAGCAAACTTGTGCTATCTCATCTCGTTCCAAGCTCGCGGCTTCGCGCTTGTGCTGCCGGCTGCAGCACAGGCGCACGTTCAACACGTTTGATTGCTGGGCGGAAGCTGCGATGAAGACCACGGAGGTGATAGAGTCGAGGGCAAAAGCTCGAGCAGCTCGAGCAAGACAGCAAGCATTCGCCGCATGGGTCCGTGAGTGCGGCCTGACGACTGACCCGCAAGCTCTGGAGGCATCATCCTACAAGCGTCTGATCAGTCTCGTTCTCGTCGACCATGTTGCTGCTTCTCCTCTGCGGCTGTCAATGACGTTCTCGGCCTGGAAGGGACTGACAAACTTTCAATCAGTGACGCCGCTCATGCTCAAGCTGCTGCGAGAGCGATCGAAGAGGCAAGCTGGGAGGATGGTCTCTCTTCCTCGTCCTGACGGCAGCCATCGGCGTCGTCTTCGTGTGCTGCACTTGATGTTTGCAAGCTGGACATTCTCACTGCTTCGTCTCCGTCACCTCGCCCGCCTCTATCGCCTGCTACGATCGCGGCGCGTCACTCGGATGTTGCGTGCTGCTGTTGGGACATGGGCAGACAGGAGGGGGAGGGGGAGGAGAAGTGCCCTGGTACTGCTGGAGGAGTCGCTGAGCTGTCGACCTGTTCTATCGTGCTGGAGAGCATGGAGCAAGAGGAGAAAGCAAGTATATTGCCTCTTGTCCTTTTGCTCGCAACGTGAGGAGGCGAGCAGGAGGAGATCTCTGCTGTCTGCTTGGTGGGGGTTGTGTGAGCTCAGGCGCGTCCTGCAAAGAAGAGCAGAAGAAATGCGAAGTAGAGGAGAGCGAAGGGCAGGAGGACGAGAGCTGTTCGCATGGAGAAGTTGGACTAGCAATCGGATGGATGGAAAGAGGAGGAGGCTCGCACTGAGAGCTCGGAGGGACCGTGTGGTGAAATCTCGCAGCTTCAGGAGCTGGGACGAGAGGCGACAAGCGACCGGCCGGCTAGAAACCGTCGCCCTCAAGGTCACAAGGCTGAGAAAGCAGAGAATGTGGAGCTTGTGGAGCCAAAAGAGCTTCCCGATGACGTCAGCACACGATGACTGGCGGAGGAGCAACATGAAGTTGATGATGATGTGCCGCTCGCAGTCACAGGCCGCAGAGAGGAGCGACTGGAGCAAGAGATGGTATCGGTCGCTCCTCCGGACTGTTGAGATCGTTGAGAGAGTTTCGCCACTTTGGTCTCTTCGTCGAGTTTTGCGGTCCTGGAAGGTATTGATCACACCTGATGTTGATAACGCCTGATATTGTTCACACCCTCCAGGTGTCGACGACTGCTGCTCGTTATGGAGCAGCCAGGTGGGGCAAGAGGCTGGCAGGAAGGAGCAGGTTGGTGCTCGAGTCCTGGTGTCAGCTGGTGAAGCAGAAGAGCTGGAGGAGCCGGAAGGCGCAGAATCAGTCGGGCAAGTCCAGCAGGAGGCTGGCGGCGCGAGTCTTTCGCTCGCTCAAGTCCTTGACACGGAAAGGGACAGTTTGCCGCGAAAGGCTCGACCGCTATCAACTCAAGTCGCGGAGTCAACTGTTGGGCTCTTCCTTGTACCTCCTGCACTTGAGCTGCCAGCTGACGCAACGAAAGAAGACGATGGTGAGGGCGATGGCAAGAGAGGGGAGGAAGAGAGAGCTGAGGAGGAGGTGGAATCAGTGCTGTGCCTGGATGGTCCTAGTAACTCACCGACGACGAGCAAGCGCACGTCTTCAACAGGCGCTGCATTCCCTCACCTTGCAGCGCATCTGGATCAGATGGCGGGAGGAGAGCAGCGGTCAGCATCTCCTCCTCAGGCTGAAGCCCCTCCTCCGCGCAATGCTTCTCCCTCCCGTCCCTCTTGTCTTTCGCGCATGGACCAACCTGAGGAGGGCAGAGGAGAGCAGCAAACTCTCGCTAAAGAGAAATGTTTTCAAGGCGATGAAGTCGAGGACCCAAGTGAGGAGGATCGCTCTTGACGCCTCCCTTGCTGCCCTCCAGCAGTTCTTTCTCTGCATGGGTCGCAGCTACTCGCTCGCCCTCTCGCGCGTCTGGTGGCATCATGTGAAGTCTGCGTGCTTGAGGAGGCAGAAGGTGAAGGAGAGCAGGACGAAACGGGAGAAGAAGACCCAGAAAGTATGCTGGCGGGGATGGAAACAAACATCATCGTCGATTAGATCGACTCGATTGGAAGCAATTGACCGGCTGGGAGAGAAGAGGAGGAGCAGGACGAGGAGATGGTGTGTAAAATGCTGGAGGCGGCACATGGCGGATGTGAAGGAGACGCTGAGACTGGTTGCGAGACTAGAGTTCAGTGCCAAGAGACGAAGAGACGTGGGAACGAGGAGGAGATTCTTCGAGCTCTGGAAGGTCTGGCTGCTTGCTCCACACCTCTTCGACCAGTCGCCCGACGTGGAGGAGGAGCAGAACGGGGAAAGTAGTACCTTGCATGCGAGCTCTCTCATTCCTGTGCAGACGTCTCCTGTTATCCTCCCATCAGGTCATGGTTTCCATAGCCTCCTCCTCCTCACCCTTGTTCTTGCAGCTTGCAAGGATCGTTACATCAAGACCTTCTCTCCCCTCCTTCAAAACCTCGTCGACCCCAACTTTGACTTCTCTCGCTCACCCGCGTCGCTGCCCTATCAGGTGCCGTGAAGCTTCTGCTGTCGCTTCTCTCACATCCCATAGCACGACAGAGGCTGTCTGCCTGAAACTCCCTCGGGACCTCAGCTCCTCGCATGGTAGACCTCACTCTCTCGCCCTCACTCCTCCTCTTACCTCACCTGCTGGTAGGAGCCATGCAGGGGCGGGAGCCTTACAGGCCTGGGCGAACCGGCGGAGGAGCAGCAGCTACTTTACGTGCGTTGTTCTCCCTCTCCTCGACTTGGTCTGAGCCTCCTCCAGTGAGTGGAAACACTTCAAGTCCCAGACGAGGAGGGTGGAGGAAGCGGCCCTGCAGGAGCGAGTGGTCAGGAAGCTGCTGCTCCGACGCGGCTTCCTCACCTGGCAACAACTTCGCAAGTCTCTACGATCGCGCGGCAGCAAGGACAAAACATCCGGGCCCTTACAACCTGTAGCATCGGCAAGGGCGGAGGAAGAGGTGAAACAATAGGGGCAAGGAGGAGGATGAGGAGGAGAGGGTGGGGGGAGAAGCTATTTTCATCTCAGTTGAGCTCATGTCCAGCTGGCCTCGCGCGACAACCTCATGAGCCAGGCTCGCCTCGGCCACTACAAGCTGTGAGGACTATCTCGATCGTCGCCCTGCTCTGCTCATGCTGATCGGCAGGTGGAGGTGCCGGCAGGTGTGGACGCGAGGGCCAACCAGCCGCTACGGGTGGTCACAATTAGGAGCAGAGAAATAGAAGGGAGGGGGGGGGCCTGTGACGGCGAATGTCTTCACTTGACCTGATCGCTGGATAAAGCCGCTTCTAGTCAGTCTCCAGCAAGCTGTCCTCAGAGGGCCCGGAGTAGCCGCCGGCCAGCCAATGACACTGAGTTGGCCTAGCAGACGGCATTGAGTTAGCCTAACAGACGGCATTGAGTTAGCCTAGCAGACGGCATTGAGATAGCCTAGCAGACGGCATTGAGATAGCCTAGCAGACGGCATTGAGTTAGCCTAGCAGACGGCATTGAGTTAGCCTAGCAGACGGCATTGAGATAGCCTAGCAGACGGCATTGAGATAGCCTATCAGACGGCATTGAGTTAGCCTAGCAGACGGCATTGAGTTAGCCTAGCAGACGGCATTGAGTTAGCCTAGCAGACGGCATTGAGTTAGCCTAGCAGACGGCATTGAGTTAGCCTAGCAGACGGCATTGAGTTAGCCTAGCAGACGGCATTGAGTTAGCCTATCAGACGGCATTGAGTTAGCCTAGCAGACGGCATTGAGTTAGCCTAGCAGACGGCATTGAGTTAGCCTATCAGACGGCATTGAGTTAGCCTAGCAGACGGCATTGAGTTCGCCTAGCAGACGGCATTGAGATAGCCTATCAGACGGCATTGAGATAGCCTAGCAGACGGCATTGAGTTAGCCTAGCAGACGGCATTGAGTTAGCCTAGCAGACGGCATTGAGTTAGCCTAGCAGACGGCATTGAGTTAGCCTAGCAGACGGCATTGAGTTAGCCTAGCAGACGGCATTGAGTTAGCCTAGTAGACCTGCGGCGGGCTGCCACCCTTATGAGGCCGCCACTAGGTCTTCACGGGTCCCTCGCTTCATCGCAGAGTGGCAAGGCATGAAGCTCAGATGATACCGCTTTCACGAAGATCCACTCAGCAACCACTTATGATCTTTTCACTGATCATACAAAACGTGGCTAAGATGAATTCACAAACTTATCGAACCAGCGATACTAGGAAGCGCATGACTCTGACAGTAAACGATCACCGCCAGCTTTCTGAAAAGTCTCAACCTGGTCATGATGAGCCTCACTGAATTGAAACTTGATTAAGGTTTCAAATCTCGTTGTCCTCGATCCAACACAATGATGGCTTGGAAAAGATCGTAAAGATTCGCTGTCAGCGCCAGATGAGATGGTAAAATCGTTAGCCCCTCCAGCTCGAAAAACTTCAGTGGTGTGCTCAGCGAGTATGCCTGCACGAGCTTCCAGGTCTTGCTGTCGTACTCGTACATGTTGCATCCTTGCTCATCCGCATAGCTTGCAGACAGCAAGAGGTTCCCGCTTCCCCGCTTGTCAAAGCATCCCCCTTGCACCTCCCTCATAACACGGTTGGTTTTGATAGGAGGGAGAGGCTCTAGGGTCGGCCACCGGTACCGCTTGATCTCCCGAGCGACCGGAGACTCCGAGGAGTAGAGCACGTCCTCCTTCACTGCTGCCCATGGCAGGTGGCGTTGCGAAGGCACCCTCTGCGACCTAACCGCCGAGAGGTTCTTGGGGTCGTACTCGACTATGATCGGCCTCACCCATGCCTTGTCTTCGACGGGCGCGATGATCTTGCCATTGTACATGCTGATGTCGCCGAGGTGATCGTAGTCGTTGGCGACGAGCTCCTGTCGTGCGTCACAGGGTCAGTCTCTCTCGCATGCACAGGCTGGACGCGGCAGCAGACAGGGCTGACCTGAGGGATGGCGCTGGGGTTGTTCCGCACAGTCGTTGCGAACCTGTCGATCTTGATCTTGCGAATGCTGTTTCGTCCGGAGAAGTACAGGTACTTGGCATCCGAGGCGACGCCTTGTGCAGTCTTCCAGTTGAAGAACCAGGGAAGCACCATGCGCTTCAGGCGCACTTCCGGCAGGCTTGCGTTGACGCTTGTGCTCCCGCAAGGGCGCACGTTGATGGTAGCGAACTGAACCGCAAAGTAGAGGCTGGCTGAGACCATAAGCGCTAGTCCGATGCATAAGATCCTGAGGGCAGAGACCCTCCGCACGGGATGGGAGGCAGGCTTGTGGGGATGCAGCTCACCCCTCTCGAGGTCCGCGTCGCTAGCCAGAGACTCATCGAGGGAGTCGGCGAAGGATGAGAGGAGGGGGTTGGATATTTGTGAGTCCATCATTGTCGTGGGAGGATCAGTTCTTTGTTTGACCTACCTGGTGCTTATGGCCTTCACTTGATCAAGTGACAGGAACAGTAAACGAGTGTGAGGGGAAGAGACCGGGGCTCGAGGCCAAACGTCAAGAGAAGACTGTCGATGGGTAGACCTGGTGGATGTTGCAGGAGGCAAGGCAGAGCACGGGCATCAAAGAATTGAGGAAGATACCAGGTGAGACCAGGACTCGGGAGAGATATCGGAGCAATATTTGAAGATTACGTTGGGATGAGAACAGGAGTTGAAAGCAACTGAGATGATGCCACGCTGTGTAAGAGCTAAATCTGCATCACAGCATCTAGTTCGAGATGATGGGAGGGGAAGGTGGAGCTGTAGAATATCAGCAGGCGCAGTAGCAGGCAGATCGTAGCGGGATCCAAGAGGGTGCCAGGGATGGAACTTGCAGAGGGAGCTTCGGAAGGAGCGATGCGAGGTGAGGAGAGGAGGGGAGATAGGCACTAGAAGGGCAGAGAGCCCAGGCACAGACAACACTTGATGCAGCGAAGGTACTTGTCATGACCCCTACCCTACCAGTCTATCAGATGTTGACCATGAACTCAAGGTCTTCACATTTCCTAATGGATCTCTATCTAAAACATGGGTAAGGCTCAGCCCATATCACCCTAAATCAAAGGTAACCCCCACCCTTGCCCTTTCTATACCCCCACCCCTTCCTCGAGGCCTGGCAAGTCTACTCTGGTAGGAACAAATGTTTTTCATATATAACTAGCGGGCCCGGCCACGCCTGGGTATTCAACGGTGACCAACCGTTGAACCTTACCACCCCTCCTACCTCACGGTCCTAAGAGTGTTTAAAGATCGGCAAAGGACGGCTGAGCCTCGGATGGGTAGCCGCAGCAGGCAGACACACAGACATTGACCAATATACTACATATCCCATAATTATACATATTTTTGATAATTTGTTAACTTGCTTCTGCAATTCGTCAACTTTTGACTATAATTATAGAAGATATTCAATAATGCTTATGATTTCGTATTCATGAAATTCTCGTAATGATTTATTACATCATCAGCATCACAGACACACAAACATGAACCGTCAGGTGCAATATATTCCATCAGTGACTTCATAATTATGCACTGCGGCATGGCTTTATAATTCGTTAACTTCAAGATATTTATAATTCGTTAACTTTGGACTCTAATTATAGAAGCTCCGATTCATAATATTATAATCAACTTGAGGCTTGCCAACCCCGGGGCCCGGAAGTGGCGCCAGTAAAGCTCAGGCCGCGCGCCAGCCACGGCAGTCACCGTGTCCGAGTGTAGACCTTGAACCCGAGGCCCGCCGCCGGGCCGCGGGGCGCAGCCTCCGGTCCGGGACGGCGGGTACTCCTACGGTGCAGTTGCACTCCGACTCAGTGCGGCAGCTGCTGATCGTGATTGCAGCTCGACTGATAGAACAGAACAACAAGGCAAGACCTTCGAAGTGAATCGAATTTATTGATACGCAAAAGCATCTGCACATCCTTTTGTGACTGACACCGGGTTTCTGTGCAATCGAAAGCGTTGCGGAAATGATATGACGAAGGAGGAAAACTTGGATCATTGAAATATCATCCTCGATCATGAAACATGGACATGCAATTGTCAATGCACTTGATCATGATATAGTGAGTCATTGAGCAACAATCATACTATATATCATCTATGCGGGCAGGAAAGACATTATTTCATACAAACGTTTCTTCACGCATCTTTCAACGGTTGAGTGGATGGAAGCATTGCCTCAATAGAAAGGTGAAGTGCATGACTCCTTGTTGAAAGACTGTAAGCATTGAAAGTGAGTGATGACATGAAACCAAAAAGTTGCCCAAGGTACAGCTGAATCATGTGACAAATTTCTCACAAATCATGCATTTGAGCCAACATGCAACCTACGGCATTTTGAATGAAAGTTCCATCAGAGTTGATTCTCTTCAATGGTGTATCCATGATTAGTTCCGAGTTCCTTACATGATCATGAAAATTGAATCTCGCCTTCGAAGCATATTTACAAGTACAAACACAGATTGTTTGAACCAAGGCCACCTATTCCATTTCTCGATGGATGATTCAAACCTTTGCCTCGCCTTGAGAATTGGAAAAGAAGCTCGATCATCTCTTACATGTCTGATATGAGATCTTCATAGTAATGAGATGGTGATGAGATGCTCAGCGGCTAGTACCGTACCGGCCGCGGCTGTAGAATGTAGAGGATCTCCAAGTATCACCATCGCCTTTGATGCACACCCAAACTTACCCAAACTGATTCCAAATTTGTCATGCTGAAAACTGTCAGCAGGTTTATGCTTAAAACCGTCACCGTCGCCTGGAGAGTTCATGATTATATCGAATCTCTTGACTAAGTTCATGAATGCACTTGAACCTACTCCTCCTAGTGAGTTAAGTGTATAACGACAATTTCGTATTGCACTTGTCTTTCCTCCTTTTCTTGCATCTGTGAATTTACTAGTCATCACTGCATCCCCCTCTGCCAAGGTATTGATAAATTTCTTGGATTTCATCGCTATCCTGGTCGTGTTCATATGAGTGGATCGATTCCGAACAGAAACGATATCCGATGATATTAAATCATGGTTCAAAAAAGTTTCCTGTAAATTGTAACTCTGCAATTTGTCATTTCCCCTTCCTATCACTGCCAGCAACACAAGCACGAGAAGGGCGATCTGGCACAGCTGGAGCCGCTCCCGCATGCCCTCCCGCATGGCCCAGCTGCAGCAGACAAGTTAAAAGTTCGGGCCGGTTCGGGCCCCGGCAGGCAAGCCCGGCAATGACTGAATCATGGAACGCGGCCCGGCCTGTCAAGGCCGCCGGGCGGCCCCGGGCCGGAGGCCACCGCCGATGGGAAAACAATCTGATGAACTTAATAATGTCACTGCCCGGGCCGGCGGCCAGACTCGAAGTTCCGGGCCGACCCGGCACGGGCACGGTATGGGCACCCGGCCCGGCTGAGCCTTGAAAACCGTCCGAGAAGTTTCAGTTCGGAACTGATTTCCGTTGAAGTTCCGGGAAACTTGCCACGGTGACCGTTCCGAAGTTCAACCAGGCCCAGGGAGTCCGACAGACTCGTCGGACACGGTCGGACCGTACTTGAACGTACGCGCGGCCCGGCGGCCCAAGCCCGCCGCCCGGGGCGGCCGCCGCGCGGGCGCCGGGCGGCCGGGCCGCGCGGCCCGGGGGCCGCCGCCGCGCGCCGCTGACTCCGAGACCGTCCGAGTCGCCGTGTCACTGAGTGTGCCACCGCATGACAGTGATGATGCCGCCGGGCCGCCGCCCGCCGGGCCGCCGCCCGCCGGGGCGGCGGGCGCGGGACCCCCGGGGCCGGCCATCGGATGCGGCCGGGCCGCGCCCGGTCACCGGACGCCGGGCGCGGCGCCGGGCCGGCGGCGGCCCGGACTGTCCCGGCGGGTCCGATCCGGGCCGGCGGAGTCGCCGCGGCCCGGCCTGTCGGTCCGATCGGCGGCCGCGGCGTACGGCCCGCCCGCCGCCCGGCCGGGTGACTCCTTTCGGTGCCATTTATGGAGGCCCGGCCCCGGCCCGCATTATGATTATAAGGATCACAGGTTAAAAAAGTATAATTATCAGCAATTGATAAAGTATTATAGATTATGTTTATGAAAAAAATATAAATTAAAAACTTTTAACCCTCAAGATAAGACCTTCCTGTAGTAAAAAAATAGAATTTCTGGGGGATACGAACACCCCACTACCCCCTCCCCCATAATATTTCCACCCACCCTTCCGAGGTGCTACATGCCGTCCACCCCACCACCCCACCTTTATGTCGTCCAATTTTTCATTCCTTGCACGAATCCCCTGGGTCCTAGTACCCTACCCCATTATCTCCTCTTCTTGATATAGCTAGACACCGGTAGCTGTGTAGATGTGCATGGTCCCCCATCCCAACCCTACCCCTTGGATTTCCAAACCCTCCCCTCCTTCCACCCTCCCTGCCCTCCCTGCCCTCCGTCCCTCCCGATTGCTTCTTCATCTCTGCCGCCCTTCCTCGACCCCTCGAACGTGACCGTCTGCGAACCTCTCTCCCTCCCATCATCCTCTCCTTCCCTTCCCTCCCCCTCCCCCTTGCTTCTTCGCGAAGGCCCTTGCTCGCTCGACAAACTTCGCCCGCGCCGTGAACTTTTGCTCCTCTTTTGTTCGGCTCTTTCTCTCTTCTGTCTCCAGGTTCAGTTGAATCAATCTGCACTAAAACTTCTGCACATCGTAACCTTGGATGGAGTGGAATTAGGCAGCTGTTTCCAACTCAATCAAATCTGCAGAAGGACCAATTCAGCTCTTTTTAACATGGATTCTAGATTCACGCATCCCCTCCTCTCATCCTTCGCCGACTCCCTCGATGAGTCTCTGGCTAGCGACGCGGACCTCGAGAGGGGTGAGCTGCATCCCCACAAGCCTGCCTCCCATCCCGTGCGGAGGGTCTCTGCCCTCAGGATCTTATGCATCGGACTAGCGCTTATGGTCTCAGCCAGCCTCTACTTTGCGGTTCAGTTCGCTACCATCAACGTGCGCCCTTGCGGGAGCACAAGCGTCAACGCAAGCCTGCCGGAAGTGCGCCTGAAGCGCATGGTGCTTCCCTGGTTCTTCAACTGGAAGACTGCACAAGGCGTCGCCTCGGATGCCAAGTACCTGTACTTCTCCGGACGAAACAGCATTCGCAAGATCAGGATCGACAGGTTCGCAACGACTGTGCGGAACAACCCCAGCGCCATCCCTCAGGTCAGCCCTGTCTGCTGCCGCGTCCAGCCTGTGCATGCGAGAGAGACTGACCCTGTGACGCACGACAGGAGCTCGTCGCCAACGACTACGATCACCTCGGCGACATCAGCATGTACAATGGCAAGATCATCGCGCCCGTCGAAGACAAGGCATGGGTGAGGCCGATCATAGTCGAGTACGACCCCAAGAACCTCTCGGCGGTTAGGTCGCAGAGGGTGCCTTCGCAACGCCACCTGCCATGGGCAGCAGTGAAGGAGGACGTGCTCTACTCCTCGGAGTCTCCGGTCGCTCGGGAGATCAAGCGGTACCGGTGGCCGACCCTAGAGCCTCTCCCTCCTATCAAAACCAACACAATTCGAGGAGCACAAGGAGGAGAGTTCGACACGGCGGGAAGCGGGAACCTCTTGCTGTCTGCAAGCTATGCGGATGAGCAAGGATGCAACATGTACGAGTACGACAGCAAGACCTGGAAGCTCGTGCAGGCATACTCGCTGAGCACACCACTGAAGTTTTTCGAGCTGGAGGGGCTAACGATTTTACCATCTCATCTGGCGCTGACAGCGAATCTTTACGATCTTTTCCAAGCCATCATTGTGTTGGATCGATCGGAGTCCTGAGACTTACGACACTCGGGCGGTGCGGGCCCGGGCATTATGGCACCGGACGCCGGCGTGCAGTTTACCGTACGGTAAGGTCGGACGACGGTCACCGTGGTGACTGCAAAGTTACTCACTGCCCCACGATGACTAATCAGTGATCATCAGCCTGGCGGCGGCGGCCTGGGCCGCCTGTCCGACTATGCTGGCATGATGATAGCATTTTTCTTATTCTTTTCTTCAAAGTTTTTCAACTTCGGTGGTAAACTACAAGTAACTCAGTGCACCGTGACGGCCGGAGGCTTTAACTGGCAACTTGAGGCGGCCGCCGGCCCTGAGGCTCAGTTACGTCCCATCCTGATCTCATGATCCGAGAACCGTTGAACCGGGTCTGCCCCCGCCCGCCGGGGCCGGCCGGCAGCCACTTGACTCACGGTGAGCCTCAGGCGTGCCGCCGTGCGGGCTGCCCGGCGGCCGCTGAGCCCGGCTGACTCATTCCGATGATGATCCAGGACGCCGGTGTGAGGCCACGTTCACTGAGTTCCGAGGCCGCGAGTCCGAGCCGCGGCCCGGGCCGCCCCCGCAGGACCGTGACCGGGTGCGGCCATGGGCCGGGCCGGCGCGGCGCCACGGTCGCCGGTGGGGCGCGGCCGGCCCCGGCCCGGCGGCCCGGCCAGCCCGGCCGTGACTGCGGCAGGGCTCACTCACAGGCTGGGCCGGCGCGGTCTCGGATTGGCCGACTCAGTGCCGGTGGCATGCCGCCGGCCCATCATCGGAGCCTCGGAGGGCCCCGCAATTGCTCCTCGGATCGGACAGTCACTGAGTGTGATCGGACCGGACCAGACCGGTTACAGAAGCGATAATAAAAGCATAACGCTCAGCTTCTTTACTCAAAGTTAAGTTAAAAATCAGTACGAGGACAATCAGGAGAGTCGAGGAGGCTTGACCCTGACACTGTCGCTCAGCGATTCGTCCCTTCGGCAATATGTTGCGACTTCTGCCGGTACGAGGGGAATGGAGAGGCGACCGAGGAAGAGACATGCGAAGAAAGGGATGAGATCAAGGCAGAACTTGTTAGGAAGGACGCAGAGGAGGAGCGTAGAAATGCACAGAGAAGAGGAGCAGGAGGAGGATTTCTGAGCTTATCGCAGATGAGAGCTCTCTTTGCGCCAGATGGGGCATGTGACTTGGAGAACATGTCGCCTTCAGATCTGGTCTACTGCAACACTCTGGAAGAACCAGATTACCAACCACTTGCGGAAGGTCCATCAACGACTTGCTTGTTATCCGCTGAGATAGTTGGTGACTGTAGGGACTCCCAACTCGAGCTACGTCCGTGGTCCGTGGCACATCAGTGGATGGGCAGGAGATGTCTCCGTAAATGGAGCGGACCAAACGGACAACGTGTTTGATGTAGGATGTTTTGAAGTCTTCAATGTTTCTGCACGCATGATTTGACATGTTTTGCCAGACGGCGAGTTGGATCAAGGCGGTTAATTCCATATATTAGATAATAAACGTTGACATACATAAGCAGCATGAGGGAGGCACATATACATGAAGCTTCAACCTCTCTTCACATCATGGTACACGTGCAGCTTGCCGTGGGCACACTGCCGACGAGCAGAAGCTCGTTGACGCCATCTAGCCTGAGGAGAAGGTCGATCTGCACCAACTCAGCGACACTCCACAGTTAGCTTAAGTAGCGTACGCATGCGAGGGCGCTTGGGCGCATCTGGGGCTGAGCAGACCAAGCCTGAGCTGCCACAAGGAGTCAGGTGGCTACGGCAGATCAAGGGGCTCACCGATGATCGGCCTCAGCTCCACCCAGTCAACCTGAGGGGGAAGTCAATCAACTTCACCGCGACACACGCTCTCACCATGTTGAGGTCTGGTCGCCACTCGACATTGTGACCTTGGCCTTGATTCGGCCTTTGACCTGTAGCGATGTACCACCTGAAGCACATCAGGTGGTCAAGCATTGGAGAAATCTGCCACCAACATGATCATGGCTGCGCTGAAAATATCGGCTTTTTCTGTGTAATGACCCTGCAAGCACATTGGTTCTGTGCACTTTCATGCACTTGCTTCACCTTTGCAACGTGGTATACTTCAGGAGCCATGTACCGCACAGCTCCAGTATGCCCCTTTTTGTTCTATCAGATAGCTTTGTAAAGCCGCCACATCACCGTATGCACTATGGAGTTGATCATCGCTTGGTTGACCACTTTCCCCATGCCTAAAAACAGGTTCTGACAAATGCCGCAAAGATGTTCAGCACAAGCAAACGTACCAAAATCAGCTAATTTCAAAGAGGACAGGTCAGCCTTGAGAAGAAGATTCCCAGGCTTCATGTCTCGATGTCTGCATTGACTTCAGGCTCGGAGATCGCCCTCGAAGAAGGAGCTTTCTTACATTATGATAGGATCTCGGTCATGCAGGAAGTTCAGTCCGCGCATCATATCTAGGATCCATCCGATGATAGTGTTTCTTGGAAGCTTATACGCTGATCGACGAGTCAACAAGCGCAAAAGTGATGCAGAGCACGAGGCCTACGAGTCGCTCTGACAGAATTCTTCTTTATGAAGAAATTCTCAACAGATGGCCCAGACAGGTATTCTTCAAAGACTGCAAGATGTCAACAATCAGACCGCAGGTCTAGAGGTCTCACCTATAGGGCTCTGTGGATCGTCGATGCACGCACCAATGAACTCAACAATGTTCGGATGCTTGCCGATCGAAATCAAAATATCCAGCTCCGTGATGAGATCCCTGTAGGCCTGCCATGGCATCGTCAACATTTCAGCAAATGCGGTCAGAGCTCCACCTGCATGCCAGCGGTTTCTGATTTCTTCAACATCTTTGCGGCAACAGTCTGCCCACGAAGGATAGCCATGAAAATTGAGCCCATCGCACCTTCGGCAATCTTTCTGTTTAACGAGAATTCCTCCTTTCGCACCACCCAGCTTCCCGACCGGCACTGTGAGCAAGAAAGGTTAAAGCAATCTCGTCCATAGTTGGCCGATGATATTGACTGACCTTTGCAAACGTTCGCATCGGATCATGGAGACTGTAGTCCTCCATGCTTTCGGCTTTAAGCTGCAATCATGTAAAATTTCATTTAGCATTAAACTCCTCTTTTGGTGGTGTAAGTAGATCAAGCATGTGCAGGAATAATTACTCAAAATCAAGCATTCAAGAGACCACAATTCAGCAAAACACCATGGTGCATCAAAAAAAAGTTTCGAACTACAAGCACAGAATAGCAAAGAAACAGCTGTGAAGCTAACAGCTGTGAAGCTACGAAGGCGGAGAAGGAAACTTTTGAAAACTCAGAAAGATGCAGGGAACAAATGAGTCGATTTCCTCTCCAGTAAACGTTAAATGAGGATTTGCTGCTGCAAATACGACCAGGAATTATGGAAGTGGATTGTACGACAATACGACGAACAGGAAGGGAGCTCGTCATTTCAAGGTGACTAGGTTGAGGATGGTTTGAATCACCACTGCACTGATCGAAGAGCGCAACAGGAAGAGAGGAAGCGGAAAACAGAAAGAAGCATCGTTAGGATAAAAGATAAAAGCAGCAAGGAGAGTATCCGGATGGTAGCACCAGGTTGAAGCAAAAAGGAGATGTAGAAAGAGGAGAATAAGGATCGGGATCAGGTGGCAGGATTAGCAGGTTGAAGCAGATGGAGGCTGTGAAGAAGAAAAACGAGAAGTAGGAGGAGCTCAAGGCGAGGGAGGCGAGGGAGGCGAGGGAGGCGAGGGAGGCGAGGGAGGCGAGGGAGGCGAGGGAGGCGAGGGAGGCGAGGGAGGGAGGAGCTGCAGGTGAGGCATACGGTGTGAGGAGGGGAGGAAGACAGGGGAGGGAGGAGGAGGGGAGGGAGGAGGAGCGGCATGTCAAGTAGCAGCAGCAGTCGTACGACATTGAGCAGGAGGAACACAGGAGAGCCGCTACAGATATCAGTGAGAACGAGCATTTTGGGGTGGGGTGGTTGAGAGGGTCAATCGTGGTATATGGGGGGGTACTTGTGGTACGTACTCGGTGACAACCCCGATGTCAAAGGCATCCTCCCTTGGGTGCGGGCACAGGTAGGGGTAGGGGTAGGGGTAGGGGTAGGGGTACATGTAGGGTAGCGGGAGGGGTGCGAGGGTGAGAGGAGGCGATGGGAAGGACGGGGGTTGTAGGGTGGGTGGTCAGGATACAGAGGACCTGGCGGGGTGAAATGTGGAGACTGTGGGGGTGGGTGGGGGAGATGGAGGGGGTGTGGGGTAGTAAAGAGAGAATGATAGAACCGACGTACAGGGTGGGGTTACACCAGTGAGAGCAAGGGGGGTGGGGTCATAAATGTAAAGGAGATAATAATTATTATATCCCCGTACCACCCCAGATAGATTATGTGATATTATACAATATTTTTAGAATAAAATCAGATTATTTAAACGAGATAACTTATGATTTTAGTTAATAGCCTTGTCTCTTCCTGAACTACTACTGTGAAGAGGCAGAGCGATATGGTAAGCTGAAGGCGAGCATGGCTCGATGTGGTGACATGGCGTGTGAACACACGTGGATCTCTCTCTCTCCCTCTTGAGTTTTCACACATCCAACTCCTCTTCTCGATACGATGCCTGGTTGCAGTGCCATGTTGTGCTCCATGTTCTCTCTCTTTGCTGACACTGGCTCTGATGCTTTTGTTTCCTCGTTGGCACGTATGTTTTCAAGTATTTCTTATTGATTTGAGTTGCATGGGCTTCCTTCAATCTTCTCTTAGAGATGATCATAACATGATGCTGGCAAATGTGAGACAGTAGGTTCGCTGTTCTAGAGTTTTGCAAGAAGGCGATTTGTGCAAATGGACGGAGATGCGCTGCGCTGACTTGGCACTAGATTGCTTTTGTTCCAGGACAGCAGCTTTTCTACTACGGAGCGCGCACTTGGCCCGATGGCGTCCGCAACATGATGTACAAGGAGTACGGAGGCATGCCCAAGGACCTCAAGCCCGAGCACGACTACGACCCCAAGGTATGGGAGCTTGGACGTCGGGGAGGAAGCCCTCGCTCATGGTTTCGTTCGCACACAGGTGTTGGACATGCCGGACTCTGCTCAATACTGGATGCCCGGCTCCCTTGACTCTCCCTATTACGGCTCCACTGGCTTTTAGACAAGAAATAGACAAGATGCACCTCAGGCTCGCAGTCGCGTCTCGTCACTACTTGCTGTGCCCCATGTCAGGCTTGCAGTATGAACAGAGCTCTTCTCCTTGTCTGTGAATGCCCATGCTGACCATACCGGCGTGATGTCCGCGTGAAACGCAACGGTGACGACGTTGTTGGGATTGTATGTTGCAATTGATGGTCAAGTTTTTTGAGCCTTGACAGCGACTGAGCTCGGGTACACAATCTGAAGGAGGAACAGATTGAACTGCTCACCTATACTGCTATACCTGCTCTTCAGCTCCTTTCGTGCAAGTGCTCCCTTCTTGATTGTGAGCGGGGGCGGTTGATGCAGAGTGGTTCAACATTGAGACGACACATTCTCTCATTTTCATCGACACATGACCGGGGAGACACTGATCAAGCGATCGATTCGGCTCGGTGAATCCGAGGAGCTCGTCTCGACTCCTTCAACTCCACATATTCTTAACGTTTACTCGATCTTCTCATTCACAATTATTTTCTTTCAACTCTTCTCCATCTTCTCATTCACAATCATTTTCTTTCAACTTTTCTCCATCTTCTCATTCACAATCATTTTCTTTCAACTCTTCTCCATCTTCTCATTTCATCTTCTCCTGCTCATCTTTCGCTCGTCTTGCTCGAAATCTTTCACACCTACACGCTTGTCATACCATGGCGACTGCAATACACGGTAGGGTGGGGTAGGGTTTTGCAGGGGTAGGGTAGTAGATCAATGGGAAATGGGTAGTAAAGAGAAGAACACCCAATCAGATTTGAGGGGTGGGGTCATAGAGACATTTGTGAGGTGGGTGGTTCCAGGGAGGAGGGGGTAGGGTTCAACGGTGACGAGGAGGGATGCTACGAGGAACGAGAGTCGAAGGGGTGACGGGAGGGGATGAGAGGCGAGGGATAGAGGCGAGGATACAAGGACATGGTTGAAGGGAAGGAGGAAGGACCAGGTCGATGCGCATAGGGAACATCAGCCTAGCTATACATACGGTGATAGAGATTTCGATGGAATATTTTTTGCGCGCAACATTTTGACGGGGCGTTGCAAGCATTTCATGGTAGGCTGGTGGATCACCATCGTATTGTACATGGCTGTGATGAAAGAAAGGATAACATGTCGGAAGACAGGAGAAATAGACTTGTTTGATCCAGAACTTGACAAGGGAGCTTGAGAGGTTCTCCTTGAAATGTGGAGGGGTGACGTAGAAACAGGATTCAAGGAAAGACGGTTCTACAGCGTTCTGACTGGTTATTCCCAGCGCATCCTCCCCCAGGAATCGGCAATCCTTGTCAAGGCTGGTTGTTCAATCGAAGCATCGTGAAGGAGCATGAGCTGCTCGTCCCGCATGCTGAGCAGCTGGTGATCTCTTGCTGGTGACCTCGTGACCGATGCAAAGCCCTCGCGCAAAAGAAGGGCGGGATGTCGGGTTTGCGGGGAGAAGCGCGATCTTGTTTGCGATGGCGACAGTGAGCAAAGCGATAGAGCCCATCTTGATTGACCTGTCGCAGTCGCACTCCAAGAATGCGAGCATGGGGTATGAGTACTCCTTGGCTTCAGCGATGGCCATGGCAGAGCTGATGAAAGCGTTTCTATGCTTTATATCTCTTCTTGCCGTCAGAAAGAAGTGCCTGCAGCTGGCAGAAATTGATCTCAAGGAGTCTCGAGCCTTCGCTGCTCCTGCTGTCATGCTCGCCATTGCAAACCAGACGCTCTTCGTGGGCATCTCATACCTCGGTGCGCTCTTTAATCAGATTGCGAGGAAAGCGGTTTGCATCATGGCTACGGCAATGTTGTCGCAGATGGTGTTGGGGCACTGGTTGTCGAGGAAGCAGAAGGTGAGCTTGGTGCTGCTGACTGTCGGGTTTTGCCTCCTCGTGCCAAACATCGACAACATGGAGAGACGGATCGATCCCCTCGCTCTCCTCTTCAACCCGGGGTTCATCGCGGCTGTGTTTGGAGGATGCTGCACGGCAGCGCAGGGAGTTTACTTTGAACGAGCCTCCAAGTCGCAAGATCAGAGCGTCCTGATCCAGACGATGACTTGCTCCCTCTACGGCTTCGTCGCTAACGGCACTCTCCTCATCCTCAGCAGCACCAACGCCATCTTGATGGGGAGCGAGGAGCATTCGCTCAACCTCTTCAAGGGTTACACGTGGCAGACGCTCATGGCGATCACAAGCATTGCTCTCGCCGACATGGCCATGGCGCTGGTCTTCAAGTTCCTCGATGCCACCAGCTACAACTTCTGCCGCGTCTTCGCCACGTGGCTCCAGGGCTTCATCACCTTCAGCGGCCTCTTCGGAGGAGGAACCTCGCAGGTTACCGGCACTTTCATCTTCGGATCCATCCTTGTGACCGCCGCCAGCATCCTCTACAAGTCCAAGTCGAACCTTCCCTGCGTCCCCGAGCCCAAGATGGAGAGTGAGATGCAGGTGGAGGGCTTGAGGGGAGGGCATCCCCACGTTTGAGGTAGCTAGAAGCCTTGAGAGTCGCTCCTCACTCCCTGACATGCGTCAACAAGTCTCATGTGCTGCTGTCACTGTCTGCCCTCACCGTGGTGATCGAAATGTGCTCACTGATCGCGTCTTCGCTCGCCCTGCCTCGTCTCCCGCATGCGACTGGTTCCGGATCGTTACCCTCACCGATTCTTCTTCCTCCTCGCTCGCCTGCACGATCCGTTAGTGTACTCATGCTGCTCGCCTAGTCACCTTCGTGCTCTTCAAGGAGGCCCGCGAGCTTCGCACAGCTTCCTGCTGCTTCCTACGCTCTTCTCTCCACTTCTTCCTTCCGTCCCCAGCCTTCGGCCTCTCTTGCTCTTTGGCAGACGATGCAGATCCATGAGATCGAGTCGTCCTGTCGTCCTTAAAGGAGCCGCTCTGCCATCATCTCAGACACACGCCAGGGGGAATTTGAGTCACCAAGGAAGGCGCCGCGCTGCGGGGAGTGAGCCTGACATCATGGCTGGTCATCGAGGGGTTGTAGGACGAATTCATCTCGTCCTCTTCCTCTGCTTCTTCTGGCACAGGGGGATGAAAGAAGTTGCTTGGGAGCTTGGATGGCTTGCTAAGGGTCCGGTGGGCAGCCTGCAGTCCAGGAGGCAGACTCTTGGAGAAGCCGCAGATGCAGTGGCCATGCTCAACAAAGACGCTGAGAAGCAGCAGACGTGAGAGGAGAGAGAAGAGAAGTGGAGGGGGGGGGGCTGGGGGTTGACGGCATGTGGAGGAGATACCTGGGGGGACATGTGCAGACTAGCGAGTCGTTGAACGATAGTCTTTCTTGCTGCGGGTAATGTCAAGAGTCGAGTGATTACAAGTTCCCTTCTCTACAACCAGCTCTGTTTCCCTTGCAACCTCCTCCGCTTTCGCTGCTCCCTGGGCTTGAAAGAGCTCGATGTATCTCCTTGCCTTGGAACGGCCGGTCCCCGATAACGCAGGGTCGTCAAAGAGAGATTTCAGCTCAACAAGGTCCTTCATCTGGATTGCTGATTCCAGTCGCTCCTCTAGTGTCATCTCGCCCCCCTCCCTCTCTGATCGGATCCTGATGGCCCGAAGTAGGAACGGGTTCTTTGTCTCGTCTGCGATGTCTTGGATCCCCCACAGGTCGTGGCCTCTGCTCTTGTCGAACGCGAACTCAGCATGCAGCAAGTCCGTTGACGTGTGCTCCCATCGCTCCATCCCCGTGTGAGGATCGATCGGGCGACGTCCCTCCACGTACTTGCCGGCCTTGATGAGCAGCTGCTTCGAGTGTTCCGTCCTCAACCAGTTCACAGCTCGTCGCAGGTCCCCGACCGCATCGCGCAGGTTGTAGGTCTTGTCCAGCACGTAGGTGTAGCACAACTCCGACGGCTCTCCCACAACTTTGCCGAACTTATTCTTGCGCTTAAGCTGAGCGAGGATCCCACCGGTCAGCGGCGTCCCGTTGTGGTTCTTGAACTTGTCGATGTGGTACTTCTCGAGGGGACGAGACTTGTTCGCTCGCTTCTCGTACTCCTGCAGCAGATCCGCTAGCACGAGCGTCACAGAGCCGCACAGCTCATCGCGAACGCCGCGGTCCCAGTCCCACAGCTCAAGCGACAAAGTCTGAGGACGCCTGCGAGGAGGGTCGGGGTCGAAGAAGAGGGAAAACTCTTGCTTCCATTCGGGATACAAGGTGCTCTTCATCACCTTGGTGCGATGAACTTGATCGTTGAGCCTGATCACGATGTAAGGGTCGCAAGAGCCCAGAGCTGACACGTCGCGAAACATGGAGTCACGAATGGGCAAGTGAACAGCATAGTCGATGAAGATGTTGAGCTGATATGCTCCTTTTCCTATGCCCTGATCTTCTCGACGCAAAATTGCTTTCTGAAAATCTTTGAGCTCCTCTTCTTCTGTCTTCACCTCTCTGTGTCTGTCGTCCTTGCTATCCTCATCTTTGATGTCCACCTTGTCTAAAATCGCTTGCGGGCAGATGTTTCTGAAGAGCTTCGCCAGCAGCCGTCTAAACCGGTAAGCGAAGCATGCTGTACAAAGACAACCGCACACTGTAAGGGTTGGCACAACAACCATAAGCAGCGTCTGAGGAGACCAAGACGACGATGCCTCAGCTCCAGAAGCAGGGTTACCACATGTACAGCCGGAGAAAGTGCAGAAGCAAGAGTTGTTTGCGAGCTTCCAGGTGCATCCGGTCGCAGATGTGCATGAAGCCTCGTCTGTGTTGATGTTGCATGGATTCGCTTGCGCAGGAGCATCGAGAGCCTCTGTGCAACGACCGTCAGTCGAGGTTGAGGTCGAGGACTGACGGGGAGACGGTCTTGGAGCTGCATGCGGTCGACCGGCAGGAGTTGAGTCAAACGCCACCAACGATGAAGGTATGGAGAGCTTGCGAGGGATGCTGGTTGTGGAGAGAGGTCGAGGAGGGGGAGGAGGAGCGGCTAGCAGAGCATGGAGCCCCAGCAACAGGAGAAGCGTCTGCATGCTGCTGCCCTCAGCCACCTTCGCTACTCGCCACCATACCGTGCGGCTTGCAGTGAAAACCTTGACAAATGAACATGAGGGGGTAGGAGGGACACATCAAGTAACGGTTATTAACGGTTATATTCTTTGACAAGCCTCCTGTGACAGCCATCACAGGCCGCCAACTCTCCTAGGGTCACTCGCGGCGCTTCAGTCACGAGTCCTTCACCTCCTCCCTCGGAATGGCCGCGTAGCTCGTCGCCTCCCGCACCTCCTGCATCTCCCTGCCCTCATCTCAGTCTTCCCGCCATCATGACACTGCTGATCGCTCACCTCAAGCTCATCACCTTCTGGACCTCGTCCACGGAGGAGATGGTGTAGTAGTCCGGGAACAAGGTGGAAGGATGCCTGCGGACTCCTCTGAAAGCTCAAGTGAGAAAAAAAAGAGAAGGAGAAGGGGAACGAGGAGGAGGAGGAGGAGGAGAGGATAGTCTCTCACCCGTCCGACCCCCAAACCTCCATGCGGAGGCAGAGAGGAGGAAGGGGACGAAAGAAGCCCTCGATGCAGTTGATGGCTGAGCCGCGATCGAAGGGGTTCACAAAGTGATGATGGTCCTCCCGGGGCCCGCTCTCTTCGTCATAAGACGCTTCTGGCTTGTGGAGGTAGGGCAGCCGAAAGGCGTTCTCCATCTCGTTAGTCGTGATGTTGACAAGAATCTGGCGCAGGTGGCAGGCGAACATGAACAAGAAGTAGACGGTGAACAAGCCGCTGAAGCACACGTTGACAAACATGTGAGGAAAATTCCACATGAAGAAAGTCACTGCAAGCCACGTCACAGCAGCGAACATGGCGACACGACAAGAGACCGAAGTAGAAGATGGAGTACAAGGACCTGAGCACGATGAGGATGAGGATGAGGATGAAAGAGGGGCAGGGGTTCACCCGCGCAAGGAGGACCAGTCGAGGTGCTGAAGGTCAGGCTCGAACGAGACGCGGTAGACGCTGAAAAGGTTGAGGATGACGCCTGCCAGAGGTCAAGGACCTCACACGCTCTTCCTCTCCTACCAGCAGAAAAAGCAGAGCCGAGGAAGAGAACGAAGAGCGGATGATTGCGGTAGCTGCGTGAAAATGAGAAGTCGCAAGTGTTTGTCCTGTCCCACCCCACGCAGTTCCCAATCCACGGACAATGATGGTCGAACTTGGCGACACACCTTCCACAGAACCTCGAGGGTGCGGTGAGACGAGAAAGCATCCAAACAAGAGAAGTTTCACACTTGCAGTGCTTGGAACGGAGGGGCTTGCGGATCCTGCAGGTGCTGCAAATCCTGTCGATCTTCTCTCCGTCACAGAGTTGTTGCTGCCAACAAGTGAGAAGGCAAAACAAAAGTCGGAAAGTCGTTTACTCTGATCTCTTCCTGCTCTTCCGGTGAGTTGTCCGTGCTGATGATACCTGACGGCATCGTAAGAAAGAAAGCGCCGTCGGAGTGTGAGGGTGAAAAAGAGAGAACAAGAGCAAGAACAGGAGGATGAGGAGGAAACGTTGGCAGAGGAGGAGGAGGAGGGGGGAGGGGGGCGGAGGGGGGGCTGAGACGGAGGAGGCGGAGGAGTAGGAGGAGGCCTTGCCTGGGTTCAAACGGAGGAGGGTGAGGTAGGAAGAGACTGCGACAGCTGCTGCCAGGAGCCCCACGTAGTGCAAAGAAGTCCAGACGTGAAAGAACCTGAAGGGAGTGAGGGACGCCAAGAGAAGGAGAGAGGGAGCAGACCTGTAGAGATTGCGAAAGTAGACGAGGAAGCAACTAGCAGCTCCCACGAAGAAGATGGTCAGGAGCATCTAGCACATGGTGACCAGGTGCCCCTCACCCCGCACGCCCTCCCACCGGATGTTTGCCCCTTGCTTCCATCACCGCGAGTTGATACTCGAAGCTTCCCTGCTCCAGTCAGCAGAGCGTCTCCTGCTCTCCTGGTACCTTCTCTCCTTCCTTGAGGCCAAACACCAGAGAGGCCAGCGGGTGACGTACGTCTCTCCCTCTCAACCAGCCGATGATCCTCTGTCGTGCCTGCAAGGAGTCACTGGAGACAAACTCAGGCAGCTAAGCAGACTGACAGGCGAGTTGCTTTTCTTGACCAGCTGGACCATGTTGAGCTCCTCCTTGTCGTTCTGCGCAAGGTCAAGCGAAGGCAGGGTACAATATCTCCTACCTGGATATCAACCTGCAACCTCACAGTCAGCCACAAAGTAAGATCGAAACACGAGGCAATAAGTATTGGGGGGAGGGGAAGAGGAGGGAGAGGGGAGAGAAAGACGATGTAGTTACGATGGAATTGTTTTGGAGAAGTAGCAGCACGATGTCCCTTTTCGTCCACTGCTCAAAGTGAAGGTGATAAAGGTTTTACACAGGATCAAGGCAATCACGTGGAAGTTCTGAAGTGCGCGGTGCAAGGGAATCTTGTCGTCGTGATCTTTGAAGTTGACGTTCGCCCCAGCTTTCACTCCTCGTCACTGATCTCTCTCCTTCCTCGCGGCTACCTTTCAGTAGAAGCTCCACCACGAGTCCGCAGCCCTGAAAGCAAGCCCAGTGAAGAGCCTGAGACATGCGTGAATAGAAGCTCTCAAGAACAACTTCTACTTGGTGTCCGTGAATGTCTTCCTGCACAACCTTCAACACATGAGATAGAGAACAAACGTCAAACCGTGTGAACACTTGCTCCTCGCGCCAGGAGCAGTAGACAAGTTTGAACCTGTCAGAGAGTGAAGGAGAGAAGGCAAGAAGAGGAGGAGGCACTTGGTTGTACTGTGCTGCCTTCATGAGAGGCGTGTGTCCTTCGCTGTCCTGGCGAGATTGTCAAGTTCAAAGCAAGGACACTCGGCTCTCCGTCTCACTTGCGACTCAATCTCCGCACCTTTGTCAAGCAAGAACTTAACGACCTGCGGGCACTCAGTCTCACCAGGGACTGTGCAGCACCTACCTGCGTGTGACCACGCAGAGCAGCCCAATGAAGGGGGGAGATGCTCTGCTTGTTTCTTGACTTGGTATCGACTTCAACCCCTACTACAAGTTCAAACTCCCACCGCCCACCAGGAGACTGCAGTCAACCATGCTTCAACAGCATCTCTACAACAGCAAGTTCCCCGTCAAGGGCAGCATAGTGTATGTAGCTGTGTTTCATGAACAGATACAATGGTTAACAATACATACCAAAACCTTTGTGATATACAAATCACCAGAAGCCTAACTGATCAGCTTCGTTGATGTTATTGCCTTCAACAATTGCAGTCTGCCATGGTTTGGGGTTGGGCTTTCACTAGCGCACGGCAGACATTCATTCACCTGCATCCTTGTGAACCAGTTCGCCAGGGAAGTTGATGCTGAAGGAAATTTTAGCTGTTTCATCGAGACATCAAACTATCTGTCTCGTAGCTTCAAACCTATCAACTCAGGGGGTAGTTTTTGAGCTGCTGCTTCCTTTTCATCGACATAATCCGACGGTTTGTCGATCTGTAAGTTGACTGTCAATCACTTCCCTCCTCTCTGTCTCCCTCTGTCCCTCTGTCCCTCCCTCCCTCCCTCCCTCCCTCCCACTCTCTCATCCCCCCCCCGCCCCCCGCCCCTTCCCCAACAATGTCTCTCCCTTCTTTCATCTGCTTGCTTTCAACCTCTTCACAACTTCATCTTGATGCCAATCGTTTTACTTCTCCTCGCCCACTCCTCGACTTGCTGTCCTTCACACCTGTTTCTCGTCGCTCCTGACTTTTCCCGTTCCTGCTCTGCTCACCAAGTTCCTTCACAGCAACTATGCAAACTATTCCTCTCACACTTCTTCCCCGTCCTCGTCCTCAACCTCGTCCTCGTCCTCGTCCTCGTTGACCATATCCTCCTCCTCCTCCTCCTCCTCCTCCTCCTCCTCCTCCTCGTTCGCCTCCTCTTACTTGAATCTTCGTGCTCGGGAGTGCCATCGCCATGACGAGAGGAGGTGAGGACAGCAATCTATCTCCAGCATGAATTTCCTTATTTACATCCACTGTCTTCTAAACTTCTTGAGGCGAACCCGAAAGCCCAATCGTGCAAGAAATGCTGGCCATGGTCACAGTGTTGCTTCATGCCCTGCCATCCCCGCCCACCAGCAGCCTAGCAAGTGTAGAGAGGAATGCGGCCAGAAGCGTCAGAGGCCTCATGGCGAGTCACAGCAGTGGAGAAAGCCATTCAGGTCTGCGAGGACAGCGCCTTCAAGGAAAATGTAGTCGATTTGATGCTGCCAGGCGCTATGGGTTCATCACCTCTGAAACACTTGATCGCGACGTGTTCGTCCATTCGTCAAAGATCTTGCCCAACAATCCAACGATCCTGTCAACAGAAGATGAAGTATCCTTCTTCCTGGCATACGATGATGCAAAAGATAGATTGTATGCCGAGAAGGTCGAATTACTCGGTGATCGAACGATGTTCAAATGTTTCAGCATGTCACAGCCTTTTGCCAGTTTGCTGATGAAGAACCATAAGACGATTGAAAGTCGCAATTCAAACCTTTTCTTTCAATCTAAAGGTTTGTTTGCGTTGCATGTAGGCCGGAAACCATGGAAGGATAGCAAGTACAGGGACGTCCTGATCAGCCAAGGTCTTACAGCAAGTCAGATTTCGGATCTATGTAGCTTGCCAGACGACTTTGCACCAGGTGATATCGTAGGGATAGTCGAACTAGGAGAAACATGGCTGGGAACCTACGAGGAAAGAGGACAACCCAAGATTGAATCTGCGGTTGTCGCCGCCAGAGAGGACATGGGCAAATTTCTTACCCCGATACTTCGCACTTACTGGCTGAAAAGACCTTTGACTGTTCCAGGCAAACCTGGAATATGGGAAGTGAGCATACCCAACCAACTGCTACCTGATGAGATCGAATGATTATCGTTTGTTGAAAATAGACCGTCTGGGAATCGAACCCAGATCTCTCAGTGAGAGACATTCCAACGCAGTCAGATGTGGGTGAAAGTGTACACACCACATCCCGATCAGTAGTTGAGCCTATCACCTATCATATACCGGATCTAGGCAAGGGCTGTCGGCTAACCCTTCGCTTCACCATGTTGCAAGTTACATGGGCAAAGTGCCCATGATTTCGTCCACATCAAATTTGAAGCCAAGAAAGCTGCTCCCAGTTGTGGCCTCGGACTTGGTCGATTGGACTCCATCACAAACATTGCATTGGCGAAATCGTTCTGCATACAACTTTGGTTCGGACGGATTTTCAATCGTGGTCGACTGTTGTCCAGGGAGAGCAGTCGTGTACTGTTCGAAAGAATATGTCGTGGTTATTCCGAAGTTTTCTTCGTTGACACGGAACATCTCTTCGGCTGAGAAACCCTTTGATTCCCCTGAGAAGGTTCCAAATGTGGCAGCATTGTTACGAACAACACCCGCGGCGTCAACTTCGTGGAAATCACCTGCAACCCCCTTGTTCTTTTTCGCCTTCGCATCTGACTTACTGGGAGTGGTGGATCGACGACTCTGAGACTTGGATTCATCTTTCACAAAACGCACTGGTGTCTTGCTGCGTGACAGAGATCGTTTCTGCTGGGCAATCCATGATCTGAGCTGTGCAAGGACGGGAGCGACACTGTAATATTTGCATTTGTTTGAGTCCCGATCTTGCCCAATCTCGTTAAGGGGATGCCATGCAATCTCGGAAATCTCTTGCCTAGTCCTTGTTTCAAAGACAGTTGATTCTGAAATCCCAGAAATCACATATAGCTTCATGTGGTGCTCTCGCAAGCTAGCATGTATAGTGTCTTTCTCGTTGATGAAGGGCAGAATATCAAAACCGATCTCCTCCATTACTTCCCGAGCAGCACAAATCGCATCTTGTTCACTTTTGTTTACCTTGCCCTTGGGCCAACCCCATGTCTTGGAATTCCAACCTCTCACCAGAAGAATTTTTGTACAGTCTTGATTTAGAATACATGCTCCAAACGTGGGAACTGCTCGTTTGTAAACAAGCCATTCGCTGTAGATTGAATCATAATTTGGACTGAATGCTTGAAGGAGCATAGAGTGGCGAAAGAGATGCCCACCAAACTCTTTCAAACTGTAAGCAGGAAGATGTGGATGTTGTTTCCTCCAAAAATCCACATAGTACCAGTGCGCCTTTTCAACTTCAAACATCAAGAGCATGAGCTCTTGGTTAGAATCATCTTCGGAGGGACAATTAATGATGAACCTGGGCAGAAAATAAGACAACATCGCCAAAATCAAGCAAAAATATTAACCTTGTTTCCAGATCTTGAAAAACGGTATGCAACAAGTCGCCTTGGGAGTTCAATTTCACGCTCCTCTGAACTTCGTTGATCATCATCCCCGCGATGCATTGGGATTGAAATTGTTGAAAATTTGTTGGGGCTGGCAGAATGGATCCACTTAATTGCATTGGCATCATAACTTGAGTCATTTCAGAAGAGAACTGATGTTCAAGGATTACTTCACTTCACTAAGATTGGCGTCAAAGAATGTAGTAGACACCACTATCGCATCCAGCTTATCACCACAGTCCAAAAAGTTCTCGCTGATCCAACCTTCTGACCGCCACGCTTGATACCGGTTTGCTCACTATTGATCAATTCAGAAATGGCTTTGTAGAGAATCAAACTTCCGCAAATAATGTTGGTACAGTGACTGCAATATTTTTCACTTCTTTGTCGCTTCTCGAAACCTGATAACAATCACGAGCTTCGGCACAACTTATTCAACAGTCGGTTGAAATTTAGTAAACTTCTTTCTGAAGAGCTTCTTTTCACGATGAGATTTCCACAGACAGGATCAAAAATTCAATAGCTCTCTCTCTCTCACTCACTCACTCACTCTCACACACACAGCAGAGTGAAAACCTACTCGATTGTGTGCAAGCACTTCAAGCAAAGCTTGTGCTCTCCTTCCTATCTCTACGAGATGTTTCAGTTTTGCTCGGTTTGATTCTTTCAACCCCACCCTATCCTACCCTACTGGCACTACCCCCTGGTCACCATGTACCCCTACCCTTCCTACCGTAATCTCAAACAGGACATTCTCCTAAGGTGAAGAGTCCTATCACTCCTGGCTATCTGCTAGCGATTCGTATGGGACTGTCACCACCCCAAGGATATTCATAGGTCATTATACCCACCCTGCCACCGATCGATTTGGTGTCCTTTCCCTACCTACCCTGTTGCTCCCCCTTGAATGAGACAACCCTACCCTCCTTGTCTGGTTTGGGCTACTAGTGCCCCCGACCCTCCTCACAGCTCGATCTCCTACCACAATGTACCCCACCCCCTGTGAAATTGTATCGGCCTCTCGTGGACCCATGACCTACCATCTCACTTACACTACCCTACCCTGCCCCCCGAAAGAACAAATCCTTTGCTGAACTTGATGTCTCGGATGGGTGCTAATATGGGTCTTTTAGAGGGGTGCTAATGTGGTATCTAATGGGGTTGGGTCAAAATCTACTACCCCACCCTATGTCACAAGATAATACCCCACCCTTCTTCGTTGGAGGCAGCGGGTTGAAGGTTACTACGGCAAATCACGTTTTGCCACATGTTAGTACCAGCAAAAAACAATCGAGATAGAAAATCCTACCAAATTATACCAAGCTTATAACAATTGTACCTCAGTGTAATGTATATTGTTCGGCTCTAAAAAGATTTTGATTTAAAAAAAAAAACTTCACGCGGCACGGAGTCGACGTTGTGGGTCAACAGGCTAGTTTCATTTCGACAACATCCCTTGGGTGTCCACCCCTACCTCAAAAATTCCAATTTTTGAGTATCATCCTCGTACATCGAGGTAAACAAAAAGTTGAGGGGTACCACCCATGGCTGCAACTGGGGTCAACAGGCAGTCGGGGTCGCAAAAAGTTTTTAAAAGTGGATTTTAAAACCCTATTCGTTTTAAAACTGAAGTCCGTGTAGTAAATTTGTTTCCTGGAAGCCAGTAACGTTCTTGTAACGTTCTTGGAACGATCGTGTTGCTCTGCAACCAGTCTGCAACTGGTCTGTAACGCCTGGCTGTGGACATAGTGGGGATGAGGATCCACCATCGTGTGAAGAGTCAGGGGGAAATGGTGTCGGGTATGGCTCGCCGAACTGCGATAGGCATGGGGATTGGGATGATGGCTTGTTCGATGATCGCTACGATAGTTTTCATGAAATATCGTACCAGCAACACTTTGATCTCTCAGACGCATGGCGATGGCTCTACTCTCAAGCGAATCATCAAGAGGACTCTCATGCAAGACAGTGAAGTTGACGAGGGGCATCTGTACGCAAATGCACTAAGAAAGGCAGGATTTCGCTTCAATCACGGAGAGGAAGATGCTATAGCAACATCACTGCAACATGGTAAGCATAAGCTTTCGTCTCTGGCGATCAATCCGAAACTGCAACAACAAATCAAAGTTGCCGACGTCATAAATCAATCGCCTTCGATGCTTCACAAGAGTCATTTTGTCGAGGCCCCTGCTCACACAAGCAAGATGAAGACAGTCAGTAAATCACATATGGGTCGTTCAACAGTGGATTTGAGCGACAAAATTCGTCTTGCTGAAGCCATTCTGCATGGCAGACCTCACAAGTCGCAAGAGCACAAAAGCAAGGCAGCAAGCTCTCCCTCAAAGGGTGCCAGCAAGAAGGCAATTCAGGCCACCATGATGGCAGCGCGTGCAAGTGTACAAATGCCTGCACATAAGATGAATCCGCTGTCCATCAAGGAGCGAATGAAAGATCTGCTGAATCGAAAAGCAGAACGAGATCTGAAGAAAATGTGGAGTAATGCCCACACGAGTAAACCCATGGAAGCACACCATACTTCAACACTTCAAGGAAATTTTGCAGAATCGTTTCTGAAGAAGCTGAATGAAAAAGAAGCAAGCATGTTTAAGCAAGAAGAGTCTGCGGCTTTGAGCAAGGAGGAATTGATGACGGCCAAATGGGACACAGCCAAGCATTGGGAAGCAAACCACCCTGTGCAGTTGGATGCAAAAAATTATCAGCCAACTGCTTTGTTGTTTGGTAATCTGAAGGATGGAACGGCGCTCCAAGTGAAGGACGGCCATTCTATGTCACGAATCAAACTTGAAAAATCCATGAGGCAGCAGTTGGATGCAGGTCTACATGATCTCCAGCGGAGTATGAAACCACCCGCCTCTGTAGCGACCGACTCTCGCAAGCAAGCAGACATGGGAACGAATCTGATACAATCAATCGCGGAGGATAACTCTCAAGTGCCGGAGAACAAGCTTGAGCAGAGACTAAAGGAAACAATCACTGGACTTGATCATGACCTTGAAGAAAAGCTTTTTCATGCATCCTTGGCAAAGCATCTCTTCAGGCGTGAAAACTGAAAGGATTTCATAGTCAATACAATTATTATTGGGTGTTGAATAGAAAGCTTTTTTTTCGGTTATCTCCCCAAGAAGCTGATTTCTTTCACTATGCACGAGACAGATTAGTGGAAAACAAGAAGTTCCACGGAATGTCTTTGATTCACTGTCATTCCCATCCCTTTCATTCCTGTTCTAGTTGCAGACCAGAAATCCTCCTTGTCTTGTCGAAATCCTCTGGGCGAAGCTTCTTCCCCAATTGAACACACTCCTCCACATACTGGATTGAGACGAGAGGGATCTTGTACTTGGCTGCTTTCCTGACCTGAAGGGTCGTTAAAAAACGCCTCTTTTTCTGTGCTTACATGTTTTGTCTCTGAAGTCAAGGCGTCGTCATCGCACAGTACAAACTCTACTCGCTTGTGAACCGTCGGGCTCAACTGGCACCCGAGAGTTTCCATCTGCTTGATCGTTTCCTCCCGTCTTTGCCTGAAATTCCTGAAGGTGCTATGAGTGAGCTCGGCGCGGTCACCCCAGTGGTCACCCTGTAATGGCATAAACACTTCCAGCGAGAGCCTTGCTGCTCCTTTCATCTCCTCCAGCCCCATCATCACATGCAGAGACAGCGCATGCTCGCCATATATTCACTGCACAAACAAAAAAGCTTACGCCCTGCTCGACAACATTTTGTGGGGCACCGCATGGCGAAACTTGTCGACAAGCGCGCAGAGCATCTCGTCTTGAGAGAAGAAACCTCGAGAAGCCGCCCGAAATCTGCACGAAGCTGCTGGAGTATGCATTCAAGGGGGCCACAAGGTTGAAGACGGCGACACCGGCAAGCAGCGATCTTCGAGCGCTTCCCAGCATTCTTGTCGCTCCTCCTCCCTCAAATGCGCTCTTCAACCCAGCCTCCCACCAACCTGGGCGGGCTTGAAGTTTGTACCATATCTGCGATAAGTAAAAGGGATGTCCTATAATGTACCTGATCCCGTCTGTCATCCTGTGGTCATGCGGGGGCCAAGGGGTAGTGGAAGGAGGGCGTGAGCAGCGTGAGAGAAGACGAAGTTGAGGGGAAGGAGGATCAGACGCTATGTAGCTTCAGCTTGCATGCTCTGTGACGACTCTCGCCCTCACCTGAGGCCTCTGCCTTGAACGACCCGCCCGACAGTAGGAGATGCCGGAAGAGGTCGATCACTCAGCTCAAACTCAAGACTTTGATGTACAATACTTCATGGCTCACCGCAGCACGATGAAAAAACTGCTGATGTCCATGAGCGTCTTGTTTCTTATCTATGGCACGAGGATCCTGATCGGAGACCTGTGTGGGGGGGACGTGCAGTGGAGGTGTCTGCATGGGCTCTTGTTCTTAAGCTCGTCAGTCATCAGCATCTTAGGAGGAGGGATCTACCATCTTCTAGCGCCATACCGCAGGCTCTCCAGGCTTATCAACAAGGAGATATTTTTCTTCACTCTCATCACCATCCTCTTCGAGCTTGAGGTCGTTAGACGAGTTATCGCGGACATTCGCCGGTCGAGGAGTTTGAATTACATGTCCCCCCATGTCAACATGACCATCGATTACCGCCATGGCATCCCCTGGCACTGGCACTGCGTTGATTCAGATCCTCTTTCCACCATGCAGAATTTCTGCACGGAGTACAGCTGCGAAGATGCAGGCTGCATTTCCAAGTTAACGACCCCAGAGACATTCACAGTCTACGCAGTGCTGGGCTATCTCTTCCCGTATGCTGCGGGAGTGAGCGGACGGACGTGCCTCGTCATCGCTCTGACACAGGTGCTGTGCCTGGCAGCTGCAGGCTTGGTGACCGGCGTCGGTCTGCGCTCGTGGCTGTCTGCGGTCGTTCTTCATCTTACGCTTACCATCTCGAGTGTGTTTGTGTGCGGCTACAAGCGCGAGGCAGCGAGGAGGGAGCACGCGAGGGAGAGAGACGTAGAGACCCTCACCTGCAAGACCTCCGACCTCCTCGCAACCCTCATCCCCAAGTCCTTACACCAGCGACTGAAGGGACAGGAGACAGACACGTTGATCGCTGCCAAGATGGAGTTCTGCATCGTCTTGTTCGTTAGTCTCTCCCCGTCTGCCACAGCCTTCGCCAGCTCCCGTGCCCTGGAGACGTTCAAGCTCATCGACGAGATTTACACGGCCTTCGACAGCATCGTTGACGGCTTCGGCTTCTTCAAGTACCATCACATCAACGACACCTACGTCATCTGCTGCCCCCGCACTTCTCATCCTTTCCACGTCCCAGAGCATCTCGAGCAATACAAAGAGCGATGCGTGAGGGAAGCCGTTCTTATCGCCAAGGCTCTTATCGCCGAGGCCAGCAAGTGCAAGAGTCTTGAAGGCGAGGCCTTGTGGGCAAAGGTGGGTATTGCGTGTGGACCTCTAGCTGGAGCTATCGTGGGGAAGACAAGGCGTTTTTACTGCTTGTTTGGGGATGCGGTCAACACCAGTGCCCGCATGTGCTCACACTCACAGCCCGGCAGCATCCTTTGCACCTCAGAGTTTCACAGCATGCTCACAGTCAGCAGGTCCAGCGATGTGAACGTGGTTGAAAGAGAGGAAATTCACGTCAAAGGGAAAGGAATGATGAAAACTTTCCTCCTCATTCCCAGCACTTGCCAACGAGCTCAGAGCAACGCCAGAGAGATCGGTGCGCAATCTTTAAGCATGCGGCGATTCTCCCAGCCGTACGTCAAGCTCTTGCAGTCTCCTAAGGCGAGCGTAAAAATCGACCCAATCATGGCCTGGCTGGACGGCGAGCATCGCTTTTCCACGGTGTCCTCCAAGTATGACATCTGCTCGTCCAATGTTGTTTTTGCAGAGAGAGACGTTGAGTGCAAGTTTCAGATGAGCAGGTACATCATCTCCACACAGCGATTGTTCTTCGGGAGCCTCTCGTACATGGTGATGACCTTCGTTGTATTTTACAACACGACGCAGCTCACCTTCTTTTCTATTGCATCTCCCGTGGCACATGAGCTCCAAACTCAAGTGCGGATGGCGCAGACAATCATATGCGCTGTCTTCATCGCTCTCTGCCTGTATGGAGGACGCTTTGCCTTGCTTGCTCTACGAATGGGGCGGGCTCGAGTGCAGGGCATTCAGCAGGCTGTCACCTCCTTGAGCAAGTGGCAGCTTTCCTACCTAGCAGCCCATGCCCTTCACCACGTTGTCATGCTACTGTGCGTGCGTTGGACGCGAGCGACGGGCTTGTTCGTTATCTTTGGCCCTATGTTCTCGTGGATCAATTTGCAACAGACCGACATGCCTGTAGCCTGGCATCGCCGCTTCCTCCTCTTCACCTTCCCCGTCCAGCTTGTGATTACTCTCTTGCTCTGGCCTCAAGCCAACAAGGGCATCTTCCTTATTCTCTTTGCCGTCGCCTACTTCAGCCATAGGATCCTCAAGGAGAGCCAATCGACGCAGAGGAGGCAGTGGTGCTCCCTTCAGCGGCATAAGATGGAGTACCGTGCTGTCTACCGCGTCTTGAATGACTTGTTCCCACGGGATGTGATCAGAGAGGCGGCAGACACTGGCGAAGTCTCGTCAACCTACAGGAAGGCCGTTGTCCTCAGACTGGACCTCTGCGACTACACGAGTATAGCAGCGAGGCTGGAGCCCCTGCAAGTGGCGACGCTGATCCATCAAATCTACTCGAAGCTCGACGAAGCTGTTCCTGAGCGACGCATTTTCAAGCTCGACACTATTGGTGACGAGTACATCTGCGCTGGTTGGCTTGAGGAGTCGCAAGAACGGCTGGTCTGCCACATGATGATGGCTCTTGCTGAAACCATGCTCTCCGTCGTCGACGTCGAGAGCCGCAAGGCCGGCCAGCGCATCTCCTGTCGCATTGGCATAGCCGTTGGGTCTTGTGTGGCAGGAACAATGGGAAAGCAACAGCCGCGCTTTCAAGCCATTGGCGAGGCGATGTACCTTGCTCAAAGCTTACAAGCAACAGCTGCGGTGGATAGCATCGCATGCTCGCCCGAGTTCGTGCGAGCTCTGTTGCCTTGTGAGGGGGGAAGGAGTTGGAGGGAAGGCGCGGGCGCTTCGTTAGAGTCTTTACCTTAACATTTACATGCGTTGAACTAATAAGATGCGAGCGAGACTTTCTCGCTCTCCTGCCCAGCAATCCAACACGCCTTAGACGTCGGTGTGCTGTTTCTTGAAAGTTGCGACTCAAGCTCAGCAAACTGTCGGGTGACAACATCAAGATCATGGTCTAGGCTGGAGTTGAGCTCCTCGCGTGTGGCGCTTGCTGGGTTCTCAGGACATTCGCGCTCCTGCAAGTCTGCTCTTCGATGAAGCTCTTCGGCGTACCAGTCGTACTCCTCACGGCTGATGGAAAGCGAGAAGGCGATCCTATAGAGAAACTCAAGCTCGAGGTGATTGAGCTCTTCCACCATGAGACCGCCGATCTCAGCCCAGATCCTGTTGGAAGCGTAGGCGTCGTCGAGAAACTTCGACGCGAGCATGACGGCAACAAGGAACAACCTTTGAAAGTTGTAGACAGTGAGAGCCACCATGTCGTCTCGTTTCTTCAAGCGTTCAAGGTAGATGGCGCCAACCACAAGGCAACATGGGCTGGCGTCACTGTATTTCATGATTCTTTTGACGTAAGAACTCGCAGACAAATGAGGCTTGGGCCCATCAAACGAAGAGAGCTTTGTGGGGCGACACAGACTTTGAGTTGCATTCACTGTTTCTTGCAGCATAACAGCGATGACAGCAACCAATCGTTCTTGGCGTGCAGCATCTGAAGCCATGAATTCTTGCAACTCGACCAAATGTGAGCAAGGTTCTGCATCAGCACCAACCATTTCAACAAAAAATCTTTTCTTTGAGCAATGTGGACCAAGCAGAGAGAAATTGATTTCAATCAGCAGGGAGCATAGAAGAGGAGGAGCTCAGAGCATAGAAGAGGAGGAGCTCAGAGCATAGAAGAGGAGGAGCTCAGAGGAGCGGCTGATCTCTTCCTTGCTTGCCTTGCTGCTTGTTGCCAGAGATGCCGAGGTGCTCGTTTGTTGGAGGTTTTATTCCACCAAGGGTTCTCCAGTTTTCAATTTTCTATTAAATCTTTCAATAACATGGCCTAATGTTTATTATTTAGATTATCATTTTGAAATTTATGAATGCAGATACCCCAAATAGCGAGTAGTCCATTTTCAGACCACAAATCGCCACCCACCTCACGTTCGCCAACACAAAATGTGATGAAAGTAGGGGTCCATAAGCACTGGAGGAGTATTGGGATGTGAGGGTAGGGTTTCGCCTGCAGAATCAAAAAATACCGGTCCATTTCTTTTGTAAAAGATAGGTGGGGGTGATATACGGGGTGGGTACTGTATACATATGTTATTAAAATGGAAACTAATCTTATATCCAGGTTCAAAATAACTCGGAACATTTGAATATCATGTTCAAATAAAAGCGCCTCTTCTTTTCGTTTGACCCTCAGCCCTACCCTACCCCCTTCGTGTGCCTCCTTTTTACTCGGAAACCCCACACTCACACCCCTACTACCCCTGTGGACACTCATAACCCCTTCTAAGAGTGGATAAAAAAGTCTTTCACCACGGGTAGGTAGTCACCTCCACCCCTCCTGCTTAGCCCACCCTACCCCGTCTCGAGGGCCAGAGACTCAGTCGGCCGGGGGAGTCACATGACAAGGGACGGGGCCGTTGCGGCCTCCAATACTTTTCTCAAAGTTAAGTTAAAAATCAGTACGAGGACAATACTTTTAGTACCAGTATTTTCACTTAAAGCTGGGTTGCCTCGCCAAGCCTGTCACGGTCGGGGGGGCCGGGGGGGCCGCAGTCCGGCGGTCCGGGCCCAGTCTGCCCAGGAGGACGAGTGAAAGTTCACGCCCTCTGAGGGTCTACACCCCGCTGTTTACTATACGGCTATCGCTCGCTTCCTCGCTTCAGGCTTGGTACTCTGACCAGCCCATGTCACGGACCCTGCCCCCTCCTCATAGCCTGGACGTTCACTGCTCGAGATCTCTCCGTGCCCAGAAGCATCCTCTGGCGACCTTCTTCGTTGAGGCGCACGACTTCGTTCATAATGCTGGAGCGATCCTCTACCGTCGTGTAGCCGCAGGACACACTCGCTCAAGTCGCAGGATAGGGTCTTGCAGTCTCACAGGCTGACCATCTTCGCTCATTTTCCTGAGCGTGCCACGGTGATCGGACTCCTGAGCCACTCTCCGATGCGAGTCTCGAGCTACTACCCCCTCAAGGCCTTCCCGCACCGCTATGCTCAGATGCTCGACTGCTATCTCCATCAGTGGCATGCCGATCTGCCAGTGTCCGACGGAATGTGATGGATGTCAGCGCGAGCTCGATCCCTCCGTTGCTGCACATCATCTCCAGACCTGCCAACGCCGATCCTCCAAGCTTCCGAAGTTCCCACGGCGCATGACAACCTTACTCGTACGATTCGGTCGATGCTGAACGAAGCTGGTCTTCAGAGCGTCATCGATACAGTGGGGGATCCTCGTTCTCGACGGCAGGTACCCTCCCATCCTCATGGCCGCAAGATGAAGGGCGATATCCACATCCCTGGAATCCGCGATCGAGGGTCCGAGCAGTACGAGGGCTTGATGGCGGACGTGACCGTTGCCTTTCTCAATTGACCTTGGAGCTCTAAAACGTTTCGCGGTGAGGGTGGTAGATTCAAATCCACGCATACCACGCCTCATGTGGGGGCGGGGTGGGTCTTCCGACCGTGTTCCGAATTCAAATCACGAAGAGCCAAGCAGAACTTTTTCAGGGGTAGGGTCTTCTTGAGTACAATTTCTTGGTACCAGTTAGTACAGTCCGAACCATGTGACTTTGGTACTCTTTTGGTACCATTCGGGGTTCTCCCCTATGTATTGTACACATCCGGTACAAGTATAACCCCACTCCCATGAAAAATCTTCAAGCATGCTGGTGAATTCAATTGCTTCATCCCTTGAACCTGGGGCCTGTCCGATCAAATCATATGGGCATACATAAGAAAACTGCAAGCCTGTATGTGGGGTCGGCCTGAACCATCTTGAATTCAAATGAGAGGGGGTGATGGAGGCGGGACTCCTTCGGATCCGAGAACCCCTCCGTTTGAGTCATTTTGGGTGGTGGGGTGGGTATGGAGCACCCTCAACTACCCACCTTTGAACGAGTTTGAAACTCTACAATAGGGGGTGGGGGTAACACCCATTTCTCATTCCCCAAGCCCCCTCTCCCTGGACGAGCAAGAAGGGATGAAATGGTGCCTTCGTGACTCACCAGGATGAACTTTGATATTGAGAGACTTCGAATCCAACCCAACTGAGATAGAAATGAGATGAAGATCTCATATCATACCTGTAAGAGATGATCGAGCTTCTTTCTCAACTCTACAGGTTGGGCCAAGGTTTGAATCATCCATCCTGCAATGGAATATGCACCCTAGGTTCAAACAATCCGCGGGTGTACTTGCAAATATTCTTCGAAGACAAGATGAAATTTTTATGATCAGGTAAGGAATTGATAATCGATACACCATTGAACAGAATCAACTCTGATTGACCCTTTATTCAAATTGCCGTAGGTTGCACGTTGCGCTCAAATGCATGACTGTGATTTGTGAGAAATTTGTATCCAGCTGTACCTTGAGCGACTTTTCTGTCTAGATATGTGTTCTCATGTCATCACTTGCTTTCAATTCTTCTAGTCTTACAGTCAGGATTCATGCACTTCAATTTTCTATGGAGGCAAGTCTTACATGCACTCAACCGTTCAACGATACATGAAGAGACGTTTGCACAGAAGATGACTGTTCCTGCCCGCATAGATGACTGTAGAGAACCGTTGTTGATCATGAATCACTATATCTATGATCATATTTCGATGATTTTTCCGTTTCGCTTCAAATTTTTCCTCTGTCATGATATTTTCACAAGGATTTCGATTGCACAGAAACCTAGTCAGAAATGAAGCAATGTGCAGATGATGCCTTTGCGTATCAATAAATGAGACGTTCATCGGATCAATCCTGTCTTGGTGTCGCAATGCTACCGTGCAACTGTAGTGTTCTTGTCGCATGGCTCTACAGAGGAGTGCCTTGTTCAACAGAGCAAGCACTCGATGATTGCAATCGAGTCGCAAACACTGTGAATCAACAAACAGAATTGCACATTCAGGTTATCATATCTTTATTAGAAGAGTTACAATCAGGGTACAAGCACAACCGACCTCCCTGTAATCCTGAAGACGTTCCATCTTTTGCCTGGCGAGGGTGTATCTGCGTTAACCAAGAAGCATGTGACATGTGGCCACATCTTGAATGCTCTACGGTCAGGAATATCAACATCTTCAAAACGGCTCTCTTGTTTGCTGTGACATCAACTGCTTGGTAGCGGCTCATCCGATGAACAGAATCTGATGCAAGTTCACACCAGTAATATTTACATGATGCATCAGTCAGTGTGATGAAATTGGTGATTTGCAAAATGTTTCATCGTTCCAACACATCCTTAAGAATTGGATGAAGAATCCTTCACGAACCACGGGACTTACTTGTCATCATTCGATTGTACTGAGGATCATCTTTGTTTCAAGCATCGAGCTGCTCCGACCGTGACTGCTAAAATGCGCTGTATCTGTTCATTTAGAACTTTCCGTTGAGCTTTTCCTTCAGTTTTGCATGTTCTTCCATGCAGTGAGATGACCATGTCAATATTTTGCCTAGACCTGATCGACTCCCGAGTCCTGAACTTATCTTTGTTTGTGCCCATTTCATGTCACAACCTTTTCACATCGGGACAGTTCTGCGATGTGTCGAAAACCCCTTCGTATGCAGCCATTGTCTCGAGAGTTTTGTATGCTGGGCGGCTTACTGGTACGTCTACGTACTCCTGGATACCGGTTTGTAATATTGGTTGGGCACTTGCCAAAGTCTTCACCCGTTCATCAATCTCATACAAGTTGCCAAAGGCTGCAAATCATTCCAACCTGCATCAAGAACACGTCATTTGGATCTCTTCCCGTGATAATTTCGATGAAAAAAAGAGATAATGCTCACCTGACTTGTCTTGCTCTGTCAAACGCTGCACATCCTCATATCTGTACGGCTTCGCAGAGTTCACAGTGGCGGGAAACTTTCAACATTGATATTTTTTATTTTGATATTTGATATCGTATTGGCGATGCATCATGATTGAGCTTCGGAGGGCCAGCCACGCCTGTGAAGGCCATAATGGCCATCAAAGCTGACTTGCGATGGGAGCGTGACACACAAAGATTTCAGGCCGCAGGAGCGTGACACACAATGATTTCAGGCCGAACACCTCCTCAATTTTCAAGTTGTTCCATGTAGGTTGGACTTGCTCCAAACTATATGGAACAACTTGAAACTTGGAGGAGCGTGACACACAATGATTTCAGGCCGCAGGAGCGTGACACACAATGATTTCAGGCCGAACACCCCCTCAATTTTCAAGTTGTTCCATGTAGGTTGGACTTGCTCCAAACTATATGGAACAACTTGAAACTTGGAGGAGCGTGACACACAAAGATTTCAGGCCGAACACTTGCTCCAAACTATATGGAACAACTTGAAACTTGGAGGAGCGTGACACACAAAGATTTCAGGCCGCAGGAGCGTGACACACAATGATTTCAGGCCGAACACCCCCTCAATTTTCAAGTTGTTCCATGTAGGTTGGACTTGCTCCAAACTATATGGAACAACTTGAAACTTGGAGGAGCGTGACACACAATGA